ATAGTAAGCACTTGAGAAGTGCTCTGTCTACATCTACTTTAGCTGATTCTGCAAGAGAAAGTATGTGTATGTGTATGCGTGTGCGCATATACTATTTGTGCAAGTATATGTATACACATATAGACATATACATCTATGTGTGACTATAACATCAATATAGATAAATAGATGTGTATGTGTATACATTCAAATATAGATATTTATTTAGATATGAAATTGTTGTCATTGTTGTTGTTTAACTCGGTTCTATTATCTACCAGCCCTTAAGACTTAAATAGTATTTTATAGTGCTTTAAGGTCAAAGAAGTGCTTTACAAATATCTTCTCACTTTCTCATCACAACTTCCTCCTTTCTCACCAGGTTCAGTGACTGATGGTTCACAGTCTCCTTCTCCAAACCAACAACTGTTCTTAGATATCAACAATCAGGACACCCTCCCTTCAAGAGCCCTAACCACCCAACTCCTCAACATCTTCCATTCCCATGACTGGCTCCCCCTCTCCACCTCAGCTACTTCCAGATGTGGTCACACCAAAGCTCTGATCATGCCACCATCTATAAGTAGTCCACTTCCATACTCACCAAGTTTTCAACTCCTTTATCTTATCATAACATCCTATCTTTCCATCTGTCTCCTAATTCTATTTCCCCATCTTCACAGGCACCTCCAATCCCTCCATGCATCAATCCTTTCCCAGGGTGTCTCCCTTGCTGTGACCACCTCTTCTCTCATTCTAATTTCAAACCCTCTAGTGAGTAATTTCAACTCTATTTTAACATCTACAGGCAAATCTCTAACCTCCTTGTCCTATTGACACTTCTTAATGTTATTCATCCTTCATTTTCAAAGAGAACCAGTGACATCAATGGGTGACGTCTTGACTTGCTCATGAATTGGATTTTAGTGAGGCAGAGTTATACTATGTCATCAGCCTCATTCTCTCTTCCACAGCATTGAAATCCAGTGACAGGAAAAAGTCAGGACAACTAGTGATGGTCCAGGATGCAGTGGATGGCCTTGGTGTCTTTGATGCCTCATCAGGCTCTAGGCACTTTACAGCCCTTGCTTCAGTAACCTTCTTGACTGCTGAAACGAATTGTTCTCATCCACACATTCTGCTGGGGGAAGTTTTCACGTGCTTTGGGTAGACACCCCCCTAACTCACTGATGAGTTTGAGACCTGTCAGTTATCCTCAACCTGGTTTAGCCCACCTGTCCAGATGGTTTACTGAGGTGTGGCCACTGTGCATGCTACAGCTTCTTGGAGCCACAGGTAAGAGTTGAGTTCCAGGTCTGCCACTTACATCTGGCCAAACTCCAACCATGGATTAATCTCACCCTCAACCACCTGTCCTCCTACTCACATGATATGGAATGGAGCTGGAAGAAGTCATGGCATTATGCTGGTTGTGTCTACCACATATTTATGCTAGCTTATCAAAGCTGGGCCCTCAATGCAACAGGCAATCCTACTACTCCTCTTTAGTTGATTCTCTAACCTTCTCACAACAGCTTTACCAAACCTCCTTCCTCTCCTCTGGCCTCCAACAACATTCCTTTTGAACTGACAGGTTGTCTTTTCTTACTCCTCATCTTTTTCCCTCTCTGTAGTATCGAATGCTATTGATCACCTTCTTCTCCTGAATACCCTCTTCTCTCTGGGTTTTCATGTTACTGCTTACAGATAGTTTCAGTCTCCTTTGCCAAATCATCATCCATTTCATTCCCCTTAACTATGAATTCCTTGGACTCTCTTCTCTTCTTCCTCTATAGTTTCTCATTTGGTGATCTTATCAGCTGGGGTTCATGAATTCAATTATTATCCCTGTGCAAATGACTCCCAGATTTATATACTAATCTCCCTTCTGGATTCCAAGAGACTTAATTGCATATTGGACCTTTGCAACTGGATGTCTTATGGATATCTCAAACTCAACATGTAGAAAACATAACATTATTTGTCAAGGGATTCTTCATCCTAGTAACTGGCTCAGTTTGAGAGAGAGAGAGAGAGAGAGAGAGAGAGAGAGAGAGAGAGAGAGAGAGAAAGAAAGCAAAAGAAGGAAAGAAACAAACAAACAAACAAACAAACCTCATTGCTAGAATAAATGATAACATGTAAGGCCCCAACTGAATGCCACTATTCCTAACACTCTTTAGCAAGTGCTGGAGTCTATAGGGATAAAACCAGAAAATGTTTTTTTATTGAAAGAACCATCTTGAATCAGGGTCTCTAGAGAGTGCAGTGGTCTGCTGTTGTCACAAATCATACCTGTCCTCTTTGACCACTAGAGTACTATAGCCAACTTTAAATCATGTACATTAATGGAGTTGAGCCATGGCACAGAGAATCCCCTCCTCATTTTTATTTGGTTTGAGATCGGAATGCATAGCAGGCATTTCCCTGAGGATATTTGCCTTCCTAGTTTTATTTTCCTTGGGTTGTTATTAAAATGAGACTGCATTCCCTGAGTACAAGTCACCTGACACCCTCAGGGAGAGGCAACCCACGAAGTATGTTGGAGAGCAGGGGAAGGTCAGCCTAGGATTTAAAACTTGTCGTGTTTGCTTCTCCAACACACAGTTAGGAAGTAATAAACTTTCCTTGAGGCAAAATACGTGTTCTTTTAGAGCACTAGGGAGTTCTGCTGGTTCCTGATGGGCCTGTTTCCCCTTCCCAAAATCAGGTGGTTTCAGAATTTTTCCAGACATGATCAGCCCTGTTAGGAATTCTTTTTAAGGTCTGGAGCTCACCCTCCCCCCCCAAAAAAAAGCCAAAATTTGGAGTTCAGCATCAATGAACACAAAAATCCAGAAGTGGTCTAACCAAGAAGATGTAGTCCAGTGGAACTATCACCTCCCTAGTCTTAAAAATGATGCTTCTATCAACACAGCCCAAGATGGCAATAACTTTCTTGGATGCCATATTTTACTATTGAACCCAGTGGAGCTCACAGTCTACTACATGGAGGAGGAAATAGCAAACCACTCCAGAACACGATTAGTGCAACCCTAGGATTGTCAGGTATCTTGGGGATGAGTGATATCATGGTGAGGTGGAAAGGAAACCAACTCTGAATTCAAGGTACCAGGGCTCAAATTCTTCCTCTGATGCATATTCTTTATATGGCCTTAGGTAAGTCACTTAATTTCCCCTAGGTCTTGGTTTTCTCCTCTATAAAATAAGGAGATTGGACTAGATGGTTTCTGGGGTCCCTTTTAACTTTAGATTTCTAATCTTATTCCCATTTCCATTGTGGGCATGGGAATCATGGGAATCCCCAAATTCTTGCTCTCTTCTTTGCATTCTCTCTTTTGTTCTGATTTTATGCATCATCTGGCTTGGTCTAACAGAGCAGCATTGGGTAGGGGAAAGGAGGCAAGTATTTGGATAGAGGATGACCTGAAAGGGATAGTAAACCTGTGAAGTAGCAAGAAATCCCCAAGAACTCTACATCTAAAGCAACATCTTGCCTCTTGAGTTCTAGATCAGGATTTGAATGCAAATCCTTCTGACTCTCAGTCCAACCTCCTTTTCACTACACTATGCTCCTTTACCCTCATAATACTGTAAGAAGTATTATCATCTCTGTTTTATAGATGAGTAAACAGGCTCCAAAAGGTCAAGGACCTAGGAAAGGCTAGATTCAAACCCAAATCTCTAGCTACAAGTGGAATTTCATCTTGTCTCCCATACCTTCATCCCAGCAGTTAAGTCTCTCTTTTTACACCTCTCAGGCCATTTCCTATCCACTTCATCACTTTCTAGCCTTTATTCTAGTTATTTGTGTCTCTGTCTCAATCCCCTAGTATATTGTAATTTCTTTTGATCATAGTAACACAAATTCAGAGCTGAAAGGAAACTCAGAGCTCATTTATTCCAACCCTGTCCCATTATATAGAAGAGGAAACTAAGACCCATGGAGATAAAGAGATGTTTCTAAGGTCACACACATAATAAGTAGCAAACTCAGGATTCACACTCAGATCCCAGAGCTCCAATCAGCACGAAATTATCTTTTCTCTTTATTCCCTGCATCTGGCCCAAGGCTCAGCCCATAGGAGGGGTAATGAGCTGAATTTTCCTTGACCTCCAGCTATTTATCATCCCATTAGAGCCATATCATACACACACACACACACACACACACACACACACACACACCCCTGACCAAACAACAAAGTAAATGATATGAGCTAATGAGTTCAAGAGGAGATAAGAGGAGGAAGGAAGGAATGTCCTCCAACTGGGTGGTCAAGGACAACTTCCATGGAAGCTCAAAGTGTCCCAAGTCTAGAGATGGACAGGATCAACACCAGATTTTACAGATTAGGAAAATGAGGCCCCCAGAAGTTAGGCAATTTTCACAAAGTCCCACAATACAATCAGAGCATTTGGATCTGGAACCCAAGTCCTCTGATTTCCAAACATAGCTCACTGATATTTGAGAATAGATGGGACTCATGAGAAAAGGAAGAAAGGACTCCCAGTATGGGACATAGTATAAGCAAAGATTCATTGGTGGGAAAGCAGAGTATGTTTGGGGATGATAAATAGACCTGTTTAATTGGAATACAAGAGGTCAACAGCCTCAGGGCCCTAGATAGAACAGGCCTGTATTTAAGTCAATTTCAATTTTTCTGTCCACAACCCCTAGTAATCCAAAATAATCCAGCCAATGGGTGATAGCTTGAAGTGGATTAGGTTGAGGCAAACTGCCTCTATTCAAAGTGGATTTTGCTGCTATTATAGGTTGAAATCATCTCCAGAATCCAAAGTATCCTTCTAACTGTTTTGTAGAATAGTCAAAAAGGACCACCTAGGATTGTGAGAGGCTGCCTGGAACCCCTAACCCCATCATTCCCTCCACCCACCTAGTCATCCTTCTACACACTCACCTAACAAGGTCCTTTAAGGGAAGAACCATCACCGAATACAAATGCTATGATTCGGATAAGATCTCAACAACTCAGGCGGCAGCATCCTTACCTCTCCCACTCCGTCCCTTCTCACACCAGCAAAACACAGCTCTGCACGACTACTGGCCATCCCACCTCAGTGAAACACTCTCCACACCAGGGCAAGTTTCCATCAGCAACCAGCCTCCTTTTGGATGCCCTTGGATATACCCAGGGGGGTCAGAGTCAATTACTCCCCTCCACTAAATACCTTTGCAGTGCTTTGGAAGAAAAAAAAAAGCGTTTATTAAGCACCTGCCATGTGCCAGGTGCTGTGCTAAGAGCTTTAATAACATTATTTCATTTGATCCTCACAACAACCTTGGGAAGTAGGTGCTATTGTCATCCCCATTGTATAGCTGGGGAAACTGAGGTAGGCAGAGGTTAAGTGACTTGCTCAGGGTTAGACAGTATCTGAAGCCAAATTGGAACTCAATTCTTCCTGACTCCAAGTCCAACATTCTAGCCACTGCCCCACCAGCTGCCTATTGGGCTTTGAGTAGCAGCACATGCATACCTCTTCCACTTCTGTCCCCCTTATCTCAGCAATGTCCCACTATCCTGAAGTAATGATGCCCAAGGACATTTTTTTTAATGAGGCAATGGGGTTAAGTGACTTGCCCAGGGTTATACAGCTAGCAAGTGTTATGTCTGAGGTCACATTTGAACTCAGGTCCTCCTGACTCCAAGGCCAGAGCTCTATCTAGCTGCCCCACCCAATGACTTTTAACACTCCTTTAGTTTTAAGGGAACTCTCTGCATTCAGTTGCCTTTTGATCAATTTTGTTTTAAGAGCTTGTACTTAATTTGGGGAAAAGGATGGTTCCCAGAACACTGATGTTCAATACGCCAACATTATCACTTTTTAAAAACTGCACCTGTACTTTTCTTGGTCATTTGCAAAGCCCATTTAGAAAAGTTGGAACTTTAAGGTGGTCTACAGCAAATCTACAAGGTGGTGTGAAGTCTCCATTGAATATCAAACAAACCTGAGAGATACTCTCTGGTAAGGTATAACTTGCCCTTTGTACAGAACCTTTTTGTTGTTTCTATCTTCAAAGAAATGATAAGCGCTTCAGAGTTGATTACTTGTACCATAGCACTGCTCAATCAATGTGCATTTATTAAGGATATCCTATGACAGGTGTCGAGATGCCAAGATACCAATGAACCAGTCCCTTTCCCCAAGGAGCTCATATTCTACCGAAAAATGACACCAAACTGGAACTACATATAAACAGAATTAAATTAATGTTACAGAAGAGGAGTGTTGCTGACATCAGAGAAAACTCTGGATGTTCAGTTGTTTCTACTGATACATCTTGAAATGTAAATAATTTTAACACCCGAAGAGGGCTAGGGAGATCTAGCTGTTCTGGGCAACTTGGCAAGAAAACATCTGTGTGCTCAGAACCGTATGGCTCAGCATTTATAATAGCCAGAAAACAGGAAAGCGTTGTAATTAAGAATTTGTGTTGGCCATTTTGAGTTACCTTAGACTGGGGCTCCAAGGACCCATGAACCTGTATGGGGGAAAAAAAAGAAAGATGACATCTTTATTTATACCGACCTTCTGTTTCCTTTGTAATGCTGTGTATTTTATGTATTTGAAAACATTATTCTGAGACAGGGTTCATAGATTTTTCACACACACACACACACACACACACACACACACACACACACTCACACTCTACTTCCACCTTGGACATCCTAACATACACACACATCTCTCCCTTGGACATCCTAACATAGAAAATGTCATTTTCTAACAACCGACAGGCTGAATTTTGGTCTGTTCAAAAGGCTTTTATTCATCTATGTTCCCCATCATCAGACAGAAGGCTAGGATAGCTAAAGGGCACCCCAACCTGACATGCTGTTTCACTTTCCTTTTCCAAAAGCAGGACTAGTGAGGAGCAAGTGAGACTTTGACCCAGGAAACTGAAATCTAAAGCAGGGTTGACAACGCCAAGTTAAGAATTTTTTTTTGTTTTAAAATACAATAAAACTTTATTTTTAAAATGCAATAACTAGTATTAGCATATGGGCCACACAAAAACAAGTAAAAGGCCAGATTTGATGTGGGGACTGTAGTTTGCCCCTAGAGGATTGACCTAGAGGATAAAGAAAAATTAAAAATAAATAAAACAGGCATCTATTCAGCCTCAATTTAGTACCTCGTTAGCAAAATAATTAGTTAAAATAAGAATCTATCAACTCAGAGGACATTTTTAATAACACCCAGCTAGAAGCTAGGATAATCAATTGTCAAAAAAAAACATTTATTGTCCACTATGTATTAGTATGCACCATGCACTATGGTAACTAATATTTAATTACTTCTATTATCTTCACGTCATAAATCACAAAGTTGATTGGTGGCCTGGTTTGGGGCATTTCATGCCATTGGCCATAGAGACCAAAAGTGTTAGTGACAGCTCTGCCCTTTCCACTGTTCCCATGCCTGTGGCAAATGAGACCTAACACTGGAGCTGAGAGCAAACTGACATCTCTGTTGCCTAAATCTCTGATTTTCTCCTCAGGGTTCAAATGTAAACAGAATTCTCTTTTACTGTGTAAACTCTCCATTTCTTTCTTCCTCTTCAACCAGTCTGACCACAAATATTGGCTGAATGACTCTTCGCTCATGAGCTTCCTGTGACTAAGAAATCTGTCAGTAGGTGTCCAGCTTTCCTAGGGTGAATCTTGTTATATTTAGATTGGTTGGTGCTCAGATAATCAACAGTCTACCTCAAGGTTCCAATCAACTAGAAGCCCCTGGAGGTGGCACCTCATTGGTGAGCCATTAAGAATGTGGAATCATTTCTATGCCATAATCATTCAGAGTATCAGAAAGTCATAGCATCATTTGCTCAAAACTTTGTTGTTATTGTGAGACAAATCCATGTATGAGACAATAGCTTTCACCCATTGGGTTGATGACCCTTGAGGATCCAGGCAGAGTTTTTGCCCTCAAATCCACGTGAAAATTAGCAAACAACTTTCTTTACAGAGAGACAGAATGACGTAAGAGATAACATGTTATATGCAGGTGCTGGAAGATCTGGGTTCAAAACATACCTTTCACATGTGGTATGTATCTAGCTAGGTATCCCTGGACAAGTCATTTGATATCTTTGGACCTCAGTTTCCTCATCTGAAAAATTAGAGGATTGGATTTGATTTCTAAGGTGATTTTCAGGTCTCTATCTATAAATTACTGACCCTAAGCAAGGGAGAAGGGGTCATAAAGGAACATCACCATCCAGGATTTCCCTACACTGATGAGACCGACCCTATCTTCTTTAAACTGACTATATGATAGTCTTATTCACTATATGACTATTTTCAAATATGTGCAGATATTCTTATAGTTAATAAAATATAAATTCATTTAAAAGGGATAAGGACTGGACCTATGATTTAATTGGTCTGCACAGTTCCTAAGTAAGTAAATTCCCTCTGTCAATTCAGGTCAACACCTTCTGTGCTACTTAAATCTAGGAGAGTTGCCTAGAGCACGGAGCTGTTAAGTGGTTTGTCCAGACTCACACAGCCAGTATGTGTCAGTGAGGAGACTTGAAGTCAAATCTTGCTGATGCCAAGGCCGGCTTTCTTTTCACTGTGTTACACTAACTCTCCTCACTTAAAAGCAAAATTGAATTCAGCATAGCTTTTTGTCCTTGGGTATTTTTCACATCAGCAAATAGTCCCCATCAGCTATGGGGGTGAGGGGAAGGACAGGAAGATTCAAAGAATCTTTTTGACATTAAAAGTGGTCCCCCAGAAGATAATGAACTCAATAAAAAATCATTATGAGGACCATTTTTTATGTCGTAGATTATCACAGTCTCAACTGAAGAACTGAAGTGGGGGATCAGAGCAGGGGCAAGGGAAGTACACATAGAGAGCATAAGTGAGCTGCCAGACATGACAAATGAGGAATTACAAAGAGAAAAATCAGAAAAGTTTACAACTGAAAACATGGACCAATTAAGTAGTGAAAGCGAGAGATAGCCTGTGTATCATCATCACCATCATCTTCAGCAGCAGCACCAGTATGTAATGTTTGCAAAGCTTTTGGGGTATATTATCTTATTTAATCCTTATAAGGTCTAAAGAAATAGTGACTTGTCAAGAGTCACATTACCAGTAAATATCTGAGTCAGATTTTGAACTCAGATCTTCCTAACTCCAGACCCAGAGCTCTGTCCATTTAAAGATGTCTTGTGTTCCACTAGTTATCTAGATGATTCCCAGGGGTTGAGAGGATGACCCCAAAAATATAGGTGGTCCCCCTTTGGGGGTTTGTGGGAGGACTTTGACAAGAGGTTTGGAAGGCACAAATGGGCTGTGATCTGTATCCCTGGAGGGTGTCCCTACATGAAGGAGATTGCTGTTCCGTGGAAGCACCCATTGATATAATAATATTAAGTGTTTATATATCACTTTTAAGTTTTGCAAAGTACTTTAAATGCATCACCTCCTTTAATGCATTGTCTCTCACTCCTGAAGTTTGAGAACCGCTAGGCTATGACAAGCTCCCTGACCTCAAGCAGCTCGTCACCTGGCTGAGAAAGTGGACCAATGCATACGAAGCAGCAAGGATAAAATGATGGCAGCCTATAATTATCTCACATAAGGATTTCCCCACTTCTGGCTCCTTCAACTTCATTCCTCCTTCTATTCAACCAGCTACTCACAGTTCTTGGATGCCGACCTATTTTATCCTTCCCCATCCTCTCCCCACCCCACCCCCACACACACTATTTCTCATCCCTCCCCAGTGCGTGGTTTATCCTCTCATATAGCTCCCACCATCTGGATAAGCTTTTCTGGCTCTCTGGGCCTAATTATTTCACTGATTCTCAAGAGTCTTCCTTTCTCTCTTGTCTATGACTCATAGCCCTTTTACTAATGAACAATTAAGTCCCTGCTCTTCCAATTTCCCCTTGTTCTATGACCAAGGATGGATTTAAGAGAACTTTGACAGACAACCCAGGTCTGTTTTAATCCTACTCTATCCTTCCCCTACATGTAGGGATCAAGGTACTATCCTCTGGCCTTGGAATGTAGAGAGGGGTTGGGACCTGGCAGCAGAAAAGCTGAACTTAAAGAGTTTTGGGTGGTGTTTTGTTTTGTTTTGTTGTAAACTGGAAAGTCAAATAGTCAACCAATAAGCATGGAATAAGTGCCTACTGTGTGCCAGGCATTGTGTTAGGCACCAGAGATACAAGAACAAAAAATGAACCTCTGCCCTCATGGGGCTTACATTCTATCAGGGAGACTATATGTATATACATATATATGGTTATTTTGAAGAGAACACTAGCAGCTTGCAGATTCAGAAAAAGTGTCATGTAGATAACAGTTAACCTGCATTTTGAAGGAAAGTCAGTATGCATTCATTAACCAGACACTGTGCAAAGCTGTGGGGATACATAGAAAGCCTATAGACATTTACTGCTTTTAAGAGCACGTGGGCTAATGAATGTGACAACATGCACACGACTATGAAGGAGCAAGAAGTAGGAACAGGAGAATACAGTACATAGCAGACATGGGGAGGAGGCAGTTCAAAGGCACAAAGAGGGGGATGCAGTTTGGTCTGAGGAACAAAGCCAGTTTGCCTGGACCATCACATCAAGTGGGAAAGGGAGAAAAAGAAAAGTGTGGGAAATGAAAGAAAATGCAAGAAGCCGTGTGAGAAGAGAGCACAGAAAGGAGAGGAGGAATTATGGAAAAGCAAGAAAACAAATTAATCTTGAGGACGAAGTAAGGAGAAAGAGGAGGAAGAGAAAACAAAATGTCTTCCAAGTGGGGGGTGGGGAAAGCATTTCATGTTTTCCAGATGGCCCCAGAAGGATGGAACCAAGCTGGATGGACACATCACCCTATATCTGCTAGAGAAGTATGTAACTAGGGGCAGGCCACTTGACCTTTCTTTGAGTCTCAGTCTCACCATTCATAAAATGGTGGATCATAACTCTAAACTACCTCTTAGGACAAAGTGTACAAGATGCCTTATTTAGGCGGAGCTGGGGTGATGCTGGGCAAATGTATAAATGGCCCAGATTGTTTCTAGCATGCCTTGAATTACCAGAAAAGCACAGAAAATGTTCTAAGGGTTCTATCTGCCTCAAAGCTGTCTTTGTTTCCCTAGGTTGGTAGACTTCAAAGAAGTCCCTCCCACCTCACAAGAAGGGATTACTAGAACAGGATGCATTCTCTGGTTTAATTGCTGAATTTCCCTTCGTTTGGGAGTGGCTATGTTTTGGAGCTTTGTAGAAATGTTTACTTTTACATTCCTGCCATCCAGGGCAGGTCTTTTCTCAGCTGAAGCTTGCTGACAGAGGGCATGTGCTAGCTGTGATAAAGTAATAGTCCCTGTTAACTCAGGAACGAGCCTGGAACAAGAAATCACAAGTCTCTGGGGAGGCAAACCTGCTGAACTACTTGCTCCTTGGCAAGGGTTTTCTACCATTTATACAACCCTGAGACTCAGTCTCAGGTGCCTTTTCTGTTTTGTTCCCAATCTTTTGTGAATCTGCTCTAAAATCAAGACAGTGACTGTTTTCTAGAGAAAAATGAAATCAGATTGCCCATGTCAGCATGGATATGGATGGGAACCATTGTTGGACGCTTCACCTGGAACAATCAAATAGCCAGTAGGGTCCTTTGTAGAAGCGGACAAAGCAATCAAATTCAATTGGTGGAACAAAGAGTCAAGAATTTCAAAGGAAGTAAGGGGAATAAAGTCAGAAGAAAGGGTCCTTGCATTACCAGAGGACAAACCATGGTATAAAATAGTACTCATCAAAACTATTTGGTACTGATTAAAAAATAGAAATGGTAATCCATGGAGGGCAGTAGATAAAGGAAACACCAAACCAGTCAAACACAGCAGCTCAGAACTCCATAAACTTAACAACACAAATTACTGGAGACAGTACTCCCTGCTCAATAAGTATGACTGAAAAAATCGGAAAGCCATCAGCAGAAGTCAGGCTTCTTCCTCTACCTTATATCATGTACCACAGATATCTGCAAATGATTACATAACCTAAATACAAAAAATAAAAATTATTGCAAAAATAAAAATATTTTTTTTTAAACAGAGGAAAATGGAAAGATGTAGCTTACATAACTGTGTCTAGGAAGAGAATTTTTAAGCAAAGTGAGAGATAATAAAATGTCAAATTGTCAATACATTTAAATGAAACATACAAATATTTCATTAACAAAATCAATAAAGTTAAAAAAACTGAAGAGATGCTATCAATTTCGGGGGGAGAAGATGTTCACAGCTCATTCTCAAACAGCTAAATGAATCTGTGATTTTCTTAATTTGGGAGTTCCCTCCAGTGAGAGAGATGGCGACTCATCCGTGCCAGCCTTTCTTTTATCCAAATCAGTGAGAAACTCTACATCCTCCCAAAGCTCTGGTCAACCTAATAGGATCCTCTCATTGCTTTCTGACATTGCAAGGGTACCAGTGGAGCACTCTGCTGTCTACCATCACTACTTATTCTTCCCAAGTGACCAGGCCAGCTTCTTTTCCTATCATACAATTTCTAGTATTC